CAGGTACTCAGTATAACTCTGTTAAATTGGAAACTCTTTATTAGAGTGACCCAGGAATCTGTCCTTCTACCTGTGCTGTTTAACATATTTATCAATTACTTAGATAAAGGCATAAAATGGCAAGCTTATAAAATTTACAGATGACACAAATCTGAAGATAGATAATATGTAAAAAAGACCTTGGCAATTTTAAACTCTGAGGTAGAATTTAATAGGGATAAATATAATCACTACACTTGGGTTAAAAAAAGTCAATTGAATAACTACAATGCAGGAATGAAGTGTCTCATCTAAAAAAGCTCTGAGGGTTTCAGTCAACCACAAATTCACTACCATTCATTCAATAGTCTGTTATGGTAACTGAAAAAGCTAAGATGATCTTAGTTTTCATTGAAAGTCATAGTTGCAGGTCTAGGGAGGTAAAATTATCTTGGTCAGACCACATTTGGAATCTTGGGTTCAACTCTGGGTACATTTTAGGAGAGAAGTTGTTAAATTGGAAAAAAAAATCAGAGGAACAAAACAGGATGGTAAAAGACCTGCTTTGTACACTTTTCATACAAATAGAGTCAGGTCTAAATAATTGGAAAAATATCAATTGCTCATGGGTAGGCTGAGCTAATATAATAAAAATGACAATTCTACCTAAATCAATTTACTTATTCAGTGCTATATCAAACTACCAAAAAATTATTTCACAGAGCTAGAAATAAATAAAAACAAAATTCATCTGGAAGAACCAAAGGTCAAAAATATCAAGTGAATTAATGAAAAAAAATGCAAAGGAAGGTGGCCTAGCTGTACCAGGTCTAAAACTATATTATAAAGCAGCAATCACCAAAACTATTTGGTACTAGCTAACAAATAGAGTGGTAGATCAGTGGAACAGATTAGGTACACAAGACACAGTAGTAAATGACTATAGTAATCTGCTGTTTGATAAACTCAAAGACTCCAGCTTCTGGGATAAGAATTCATGATTTGACAAAAACTATTGGGACAACTGGAAAAAAAATATGGCAGAAACTAGGTATACACTAATATTTCACACTGTATACCATGATAAGGTCAAAATGGGTACATGGTTTAGACATAAAGAGTAATACCATAAGAAAACTAGGAGAGCAAGGAATAGTTTACTTGTCAGATCTATGGAGAAAAGAAGAACTTATCACTGAACAAAAGACAGAGAGCATTATAAAATGCAAAATGGATAATTTTGATTACATTAAATTAAACAGTTTTTCCACAAACAAAACCAATGCAACCAAGAATAGAACAGAAGCAGTTAGCTGGGAAACAATATTTACAGCAAGTGTTTCTGATCAAAGGTCTCATTTCTCAAATATGTAGAGAACTGAATCAAATTTATAAGAATACAAGTCATTCCCCAACTGCCAAATGGTCAAGGGATATGAATTGGCAGTTTTCAGATAAAGAAATTAAAGCTATATATAGTCATATGAAAAAATGCTCTAAATCATTACTGATTAGAAAACTGCAAATTAAAACAACTCTAAGGAACTATCTCATACCAATCAGATTGGCCAATATGACAGAAAAGGAAAATGATAAATGTTGGAGAAGATGTGGGAAAATTGGAAAACTAATGCATTGTTACTGGAGTTGTAAACTGATCCAACCATTCTGGAGAGCAATCTGGAATGATGGGCAAACAAACTGTTTATTCCTTTTAATCCACCAATACCACTACTAGGTCTGTATCCCAAAGAGATTATAAAAAAGGCGAAAGGCCTTACAGGTACACAGATATTTACAGCAACAATTTTTGTAGTGGCAAAAAATTAGAAATTGAGGGGATACCCATCAATTGGGAAATGTCTGAACAAGTTGTGGTATATGAATGTAAAGGAATACTACTGTGCTGCAAGAAATGATGAGCAAGAATGCAGTGAGCAGTAAGTACCAACAGGACTTTTAACAGCCACATTATGCAATGACTAATATTGTTAAACTGAACCCTTCTCAGCATTACAAGGATGTAAGACATCTCCAGAGGCCTCAGGATGGAAAATGCTCTCCACATCCAAAGAAAGAACTATGGAAGTCGAATCGCTACCACTTATTTTTACCTTCTGTTGAGTTTTGTTTCATCTTTCTGATAGTTCCTCCTATTGGTTTTAATTTTTACTTACAACTTCATTAATGTGCAAATTTGTTTAATAGGAATGTAAATGTAAAGCCTATATCAGATTGTGCACTGTCTTGGGGAGGGTAGAGGGGAGGAAGGGGGAGAAAAATTTTCAACTCAGAAGCATATGGAAGTGATTGTTGATAAATCAAAATAAATTAATAAAATTTAAAAAAAAAGAAATGATGAGCAAGTGGATTTCCAAAAAACCTGGAAAAATTTACATGAACTGACGCTGAGTGAAGTGAGAAGAACCAAGAGAACATTGTACACAGTAACAGCAACATTGTACAATGACCAACGTTGATAGATTTAGCTTTTCTCGGAAATGCAACGATCCTAAGACAATTCTAAAAGACTCATGGTGGAAAATGCCATCCACATCCAGAGAAAGAACTGATGGAGTCTAAATGTACATTGAAGTATATTATTTTCACTTTCTTTGTTTTTTTATGTATGTTTTTTTCCTTTGTTCTGTTTCTTCTTTCATAACATGACTAATGTGGAAATATGTTTAACATGATTGCACTTATATAACCTGTATCAGATTGCTTGCTGTCTTGGGGAGGGAGGAGAAGAGGGAGGGAGAAAAATTTGGAACTCAAAATCTTATAAAAAAATGAATGCTGAAAACTATCTTTACATGTATTTGGAAAAAATAAAATACTATTTTACATTTTTTAAAAGACCTCATTTTTGTTGTTGTTCAGTTGTGTATGACTCTTTGTGACCTCTTTTGGGGTTTTCTTGGCAAAGATACTAACTTGGTTTGCTATTTCCTTCTCCGGCTCATTTTACAGATGAGCAAACTGAGACACACAGGGTGAAGTGATTTGCCAGGGTCAGTGCCAGGGTCACACAATGACTAAGTGTCTGAGTCTAGATTTGAACTCAGGAAAGATGAGTCTTTCTGAGTCCAGGCCTGGCACTCTATCCACTGTGCCACCTGAAAGATCTATAGATCATGCCAAATCAGAATTCCTGAAAGGAAGTGGCAATGTCTAGTCTAGGGGAAAAAAAAAAGACTTGATCTCTATCTTCAAGTATATCAAGTCCATCAAGTATAAGAAGGATTAGATTTATCCTGTTCTGTCTTGGAGGGCAGAATTAGGTACAATAAGAAGTTGCAAAGAGGTCAGTCAGGCTTGAAGGAAGGAAGACTGTCCTAATAATTAGAGCTATCTGAAAGGGGGATGGGCTATCTTTGGGGCTGCGGCTTCCTCAAAGTCTAGATGACTACATATTGGATATGTTGTAGAACATGTTTGTTCAGGTTGGTTGGACTAAATGAACTATGAATTTCCTTCCAAATCTAAGATACTGTGATTTGGGGGATAGTTGGTTTGATTTACATTATGTGACAAACTCATTTAGAGCTGCTTCATGCTCTTTCCTCATTACCTCAGTCATCTTCCTCAACCATTTTTGTTCTTTAATTTTCAGTTGGAAGATAGGAAACATGGACACGAAACAGGATTCAGTTTCTCTTTCATTCTGCGATTTGTGAACATCTGCCCTTTACATTTCCACCTGCCTCCCCCCTCCAAAGCACAGCTTGAAAAGCCCATTTATGATCCTTAGCTTTTTTATTTTTGTGATACTACCCTTGACTAGGATGAATAACCACCTGCCAGAGATTTTATAGAAGGGATTACTATACTGCTTGGGAGGTTGAATTAGATGACCTGGTCCCTTCAATCTAGATCCTATAATTTTTTCATTTCATTTCCCCTACCCCTGCTCAAGAACATAAATGTCTCCTTCCTCCCTGACAATATCAAGTCCAAACTCCTCTACTACCTTTCAAGGCCTTCCAGAATCTTGCCTCACCCTACCTCTCCAACCTTGTTTTTCTTTATTTCCCAGCAATCAAATTCTGCTCCAGTCAAACAGGTTACTACTGTCCCTTTCTTGCACCAACACGCTCATTCCTGCTCCCATATACCTTTCCTGGATCTCTCCTTAAGTCCCCCACCCCCTCCACCATCCAGATCTTCCTCACCTTCAGAGGCCAATTGAAGTTGGACATCCTCTTAACATCCCTCTTACGTCTCTACTAACACTCATCCCACCCCTCCCTGCACTTCTCTGGCCTTTATCATCAGATCCAACAGTTTAGCCATAAATTGTACTTTGTCCACAATGCATGGTATGCTGGAGTTCTGGAGTTGTATTGGTTCCTGTGTTAAAATTTTCCTTGTCAGCATTTACACTTTGTTAATTGGCAAATGCTACAAATGAGGGCTGGATTTTTGTTGATTGTCCAAACTTAGGAAAGTGATGGGGAAAATGTTAATAACGCACACTAAACTTAAATGTGCCTAGCATCCTTCCTTTCTATACCCCTTCCGACCTGTCCCCTGTCCGTTATGAAGCAATTACCGGCACTTGAGCGCCTTGCCAAAAGGCCTCTTTCTTGCACCTTGCACGTGCTTACATCTCCTCTTTGTTACAAGGTATTAAGGTCCATGGGGGCAGACATCCTGGTCTTATACATTCTGTTGCTCTAGAAATAAATAATTCTCGGAGCATCTAATTCTTCCTCTCTTCACTTGGTTGTTACTAACCTAAAAGTAACAAAATACAAAATCTTGTGAAATTGTGTCTTTCAAGTGCTGGGCTCACCGTTAATAGGTTTGCTGAGCGTTCATGCAGTGCAGGTGTGGGTTGTGTCGGGAAACTCCTAAGGTAGCGGCCGTTTCCTAGGAAGTCAAGCCGGAGCATTTCCCCGGGTTCCGATCAAACTCAGCCACGTGAGCAGAGGACCCAGAACTGGGAAGGAGGTGGGGAGGGAGAAGGCGGGAAGGAGGCAGTCTAGGGAGACGGAAGGAACTCTCGCGAGGAAATAACCGGTGGCCTTGGTAACCGCGACGCGTTCTCGGAAGATGGGGACCTGGAAGGTGGACCAGCCGCTTGGCGCTTCTGCCGCCGCGGACTCCTGGGTACCCCCGGGCTGCAGCCAAGAAGGGGGTGGGGGTTAGGGGTGGCGAACTTGGGGGACGTCCCGCGGAATGGCATCTGAAGGGTGATTGTCTTGTTTCAGAGGTGGGATGCCGCAGGGACCTGGAAGCCGCTGAGAGACCTTCGGAGCAAGGAGGAAGAGTATCTGTAAGAAACGGGGCTGGGCGGGGGGAGGGGACGCTGTTGTCTTTTGGTTTTCCCGCTTCCTTGCCATTACGTGGAATATCATCTTTAGCTTTCCGTTTTCCTCGCCCAATCCATCTGCCTACCCTTCCTCGACTCTTTGTTTCTTTAGCAGTGGAAAACTTTAGTCCATAAGCATTTATTAAGCGCCTGCTGTATACCCAAGCACTGGGGAGGTATGCCAAGAAAGGCAAAAGACAGTCCCTGCCCTCTAGGAACTCGCAATCTGATCGGGGCGGGGTGTGGTGGTGACGGGGGATGGTAAGCAAATAACCACGTACTAGCAAGATGCAGAATAAATTGGGAAGAGTCTGAGAGGGATGGGACTAGAAGTAAGGAGGATTTGGAAAAGACTTTCTGTACAAAGTGGGATTTTAGCGGGTACTTGACAGAAGCCAAGGGAAGCCCGGAGGCGGAGATGAGGAGAGAGAGCATTCTAGGCGTGGGGGACTGCCAGAGAAAATGGTCAGAGTCTGGGCATGAAATGTTTCATAGCAGGAAGAACAAGGAGGTTAAGGTTACAGAACCCCACTGTGTGTGGGAAGGTGTTTGAGGTGTGAGAAGACTGGAAACATGGGGATGGGATGGGATAGGGTGGGATCGGACGGGTTATGATGGGCGTTAACGTCAGATGATTTTATATTTAATTCTGGAGGTGTTAGGGAAGACTTGACCTTAACCTGCAATTTTTCCTACCCCCACCGGTAATACCTTTGAGAATTGATGCTGAATGATGAGTTGTGAATACTTGGAATTCTGAATCCTTTCAGTGCTGATTTTGAAGACTTGAATCAATCAATTCCATGGTCACTGTCTAGTACAGTTACAACTTTTTAGGCCCTGTTTCAGTGTCTCCTGTAAATTGGAAGGGAATTCTTGTGGCAGATTCTCAACGTGACCTTATAACAGCCTTTGTAGCTTATCCTTTCAGATCTTTCCTAATGCATGTGTACCACGTAATTGTGCTCTCTATTCATTAACCCAGCGATCATTTATATACAAAGTGCACCAGTGCCAGGGTGCCTGACACATAGCAGGCACTGAATAAGTGCTTGTTGTTTGATTGCTAGGTACATTCATTGAAATTTATAATGAATCTCAGCCCTGCAGCGTAAAAAACCCGACAACTTTGTATTGCTGTTTTTTTCAATGCCAATAAGAAATGGTCGGGGTTTATGCATAGTCACTTTGGGAATGAGGGCCTTCAGTCTTCTTTTTCCTGATGATAGCATGGATTGTAATCTGCATCATTGGAGGGAACTGACAAATCTTTGCGATCACAAATCCATTTGAATATGGAACACTTTCATAGTTATACCTATTATAACAGCCAATTTTAAAATGTATTGATCTCTTTGGTTTTCATAATACCTTCAGTTCTTAACTTACTCCTCCTGCCTCTCCTGTCTATAAATCTACCTCTTATAACAATGAATAAAAACAAAGGAGAAAAAAAAGCAGTTTAGCAAAACTAACTCTTTGCTGTTCTATGAACAAAATACTCCTCCCAGGTTCCTGCATTTTCACTGTCTGCATGCCTGGAGTTCTCTCCCTTCTCGTCTTCATTCACTAGGTTCCTTCAAGTCCCAGTTAAAACTCTGCCTTGTAAAAGAAGCTTTTCCCAATTCCTCTTAATGATAAGGTCTTCTTTTGTGATTATATCCAATTGATCATATCTGTGTCTATATCTCTATTTTGTACAGTTATTTTCGTGTTAACTACTCTGTTACACTGTGAGTTCCTTGAAAGGAGAGGGTGGGGTTTTTGTTGTTGTTTTTGCCTTTCTTTGTATCCTCAGCACACAGCATATAGTAAGTATTTAATACATGCTTATTGACTGACTTTTTCAACACTAGCATGTTTGAGGAGATAAAATACAGATTTTTTTTCTTAGTTGATGCCTCCTTTGTACTTTCTGACAAATATTTACTAATACCAAATCCTTGGCACCTCATTTATTTCGGCTAAATTGGCAGTAATGGCTTCTTTATGTAGCTGCAAAATAATGTATTTTGAATTTTTTTGAAATGATTAAGTTTTAGTGTGACAGTCTCTTCCATTGTTGATATCATAGGCTAACCTAATTTTAGCATTTTCATCTGATCATCATTTTAATTTCCATTAGATACTTCAGTAAATCCTAATTAAACAGTTTTTTGCACATTTCAGACGTCTGAATGCAGAACTTGAAGCAAAAACAGCTGAACTGGTTCGTCAAGCAGAAGAAGCAATAGTAAGTAAATATTGTAATTAGCCTGAGCAGTGCAAAATGTTAATTTGGGCTTAGAACAATTTTAAAAAATATTATAAAACACCTCCCCTCCTCTTTCTTTAGCACCCCCTCTCCCCGTTGAGTTTTGGTAACATTCATGGACAGTTGTTTCTTTATTAGATGAATAGCTTATTTGGTGAATTAGTTGGTGTAGGATTATATATATGAGTAAGCTACAAGGTGGCCTTTGAAGTTTGAGATATCCCAGCTCAATGCAAATTGAGCATGAACAGTCAGCTTCCTTCTGTGTACATTTCCTGGACCCTCAGGTTCTGTGTGTCTCTCTAGGAGTATAGATTAATTCCCCTGAAACCTCATAACTCTCTTTTGTTTTGTATTGTCCCTAGCTACTAGGAGCCCCGTTCTTGCATCCCTTCCTGATGTTGTCCTATACAATTTATTCACTTAACATAAGGCTGAAATGACTTTACCAAAACAAAATTGAAAGTAAAATGTCATAGTATTAATATCCACATATTTGGAGCAGTTACCATCACTTCTGAAAAAGTCAGAATTGCCAAATCTCCTACCCTATTTTGCATTCTACACCTTTGTTGTTATGATGGAGATTTGGTCGTTTTTGGTAGAGGGATGCAGTAGAGAGCTGCTAACAAGTGTTCTGTGTCTCAAGGTACAATAGGTAGGGGGAACCACCTTATCATGCTCCAGCTCATCTATCTCTTTGAGTGATCAGTGGCAGTGATTCATTGACTCCTGGTCACCTACCAGGTGAAACTGGCAGCTTAGATTGGTACCATGTTAAAATTACTGGCAAACTTTTGCCATATAGTATACTTATGATACTTGTTTTGTTTCTTAATTAGAGAGATCAAAATGAGATACTGTCCAAAGTAGTTTCATCTACAGTTAAACCATGTGAGAAAGAAGATGATAATACAAAGTAAGTGTTTATGTTTCAAATCAATTATTACTGATGGTTTTAATAACTGGTATGGGATGCATTTAAGAACAATAATAATACTTAGCATTTACATAGCTCCTCGGGGGCAGCTAAGTGCTGCAATGGATAGAGTGCTGGGCCAGGAGTCAGGAAGACTCATTTTCCTAAGTACAAATCTGGGCTCAGACACTTACTAGCTGTGTGACCCTGGGAAAGTCACTTAACCCTGTTTGTCTCAGTTTCCTCATCTGTAAAAGGAGCTGGAGAAGGAAATGGCAAACCCCAAATGGGGTAAGACATGACTGAAAATGACTGAACAAGAACAACATATAGCACCTACTATGTGCCAGGGACTGTGCTTAGTGCTTTACAGTTATCTCATTTGATGCGCATGACAACCCTCGGAGATAGCTGCTATTATTATCCCCATTTTATAGATGAAGAAATTGATGCTGATAGAGTTAAGTGCCTTGCCCAAAGTGACATAGTTAGTAAGTATCTGAGGCTAGATTTGAACTCAGGTCAGTTCAGTGTTTCATTCACTGCACCACCAAGTCTCCCCAGAAACTTTGGAATGGGCCTAGTGTAGGGAACTCCTGGTGAAGAAATTCTTGCTAACAATGCAGGTTGACATCTATTCTGCAATTAGTGTTAGATTTTTACCTGAGGCACCGAGAGGTTAAATGATTAGCCCAAGATTACATAATCAGTATGTTTCAGCGGCAGGTCTTGGATCTAGGTCTTCCTGATACCTTGGCTGGTTGTCTATCAATTATGCCGTGGTACCTCCTGGAGATGAATGATTATAAAAAATAATTCTTAAAGTGTGAACTTTTATGAGTCCTTTGTTTTGAAGAGCAATTGTGTAATCAATATATTAAGTAAATACAGTTATTAAAGAAAATACATTTAGTATCTATTTTCATTTGAACTACTGATATAATTGGTATAAAAATTGGATCTCTCAGCCATCAAGGAGAGATAAATGGTTTTGGTGCAATTTGAATAATATGAAATAAAGTACTGTTTCATTTTTATTACATTAACAGAGCTATTTGAAAGTCAGTAATCATCCTTAATGATCCATGAATTTGTAGAAGATTTGGATTAGGGCAATAGTATGCTCATAATAAGGTCAGCTAGGTAACACAGTAGATAGAGTATCAGGCCTGGGGTCAGGAAGACTTGAGTTCAGATCCTGCCTCTGACACTAGCTGTATGTTCCTGGGCAAGTCACTTAACCCTGTTTGCTTTGGTTTCCTCATCTATAAAGTGAGCTGGAGAAGGATATGGCAAACAACTGCAGTATCTTTGCCAAGAAAATCCCAAGTGGTATCACAAAGAGTCAGACATGACTGAAATAACTGAACAACAGCAAACCCTTTATAAATCCAGTTCTTAGAAGCACCAATTAGCAGTTTTGGAGAATGTTAATATTTTTGGAAATGGGAGGAGAAGTATGATGGAAAGGGCACTAGGGCTTCAGTCAGGAGATGTGGGTTCAAATCTTTGATCTAACACTTACAGTCTCTGTGACCATGAACAATTCGTTTTAACCTCTCTTTGCCTCAGTTTACTCATCTGTAAAATGAGAATAATATTTGCATTTCACAGGGTTAGGCCAGCTTAGGCTCATTGTTAGGGGATATGAAGAGAAAGAAGACAGAATCAGAAGAAGGGCATTTAGAGTTAGGAGAAGCAGGAAAGGACATTATGATAAAACCAAGGAAGGAGAGAATTTAAATGAGAAAGTTAACAGTAGATCTTGGCTGTAAGAGGTCAAGGAAAATTACACTAGTGACTGCATTTGGTTAGAAAAAAGTTATTGATTTGAAACATGGTGAACGATATAGATCAGCCACAGACCACCAACACTGTAGATGAGCCACTGCATCTCATCAGGCTTAGTGTAGATGAATGAATTTATGTAAAAATGAGAAATGACCAAAAAATGAGAAGTGATCCAGAACAATAAGGAAGATTACAAGCTTATGATCAGCATTTAAACATGATTTTGAGAGATGTAGAAGAGACTGTGACAATTGTAGAAAATGATGAAGAAGCTTATGAAGAGGTCTATAAGTTAACCAAGATGAACATTCCAGTGCTGTTTGTCTGAGGCCTTGGGGTTGTGGTAGTAGCCCCTCCATTGAAAGTTGGCTGAAACTAAGACTGTCCTGTGTAGAAAATTGGAGACTCTGGACAATAACCTCTATGAGAAAGGCTGGTGTTCAAAAGAACACCCTGTGGTCCTTTATAATATTTAGAAATATTCAAGGAACAGTACACCCTTAAATGCATTTTTTTTCCAGATAAGTCCTGATCTAACTGGCATAACACTTATTCTTAGATTTCTAATACCAAATCTTTAAATTAATGTAGGCGTCATAATTCAGCAATCTTTTTCAGTGATTTAATTTGCCTCTTCATCTTATATTTTTATAATTAAATTTGTCTTTTGTTTTTTGGGAAAAAAGAAAGTTATTGGTTAGAGAGGTTTGTTTTAGGAGAATAATTTAGGAGACAGTGATGAGAGAATGGTTTTCATAGGTGAAGGGTGTTGGTTTCAGAAGTTAGGCTGTAAAAGAAAAGAGGGAAATAGGACAATAGATATGAGAGATTTTTTCAGGATATGCAGATATATATTTAAGGCCATAAGGGAAAGGAGCCAATGAAAAGGAAGAGCTTAAAGATATTGGAAAGAAAATAGATAAATGTGGGAAATTCCTTCTGACATTGGGAAAGGTTAGGATCCAGGCTACAGATAAAGGAATAATTTTAGAAAGGAGGTAATACATCTTTTCTTCTGAGACTTCAGAGAAGTATGAAAGGAGAGAGTTACAGGGTGTTGAGATGCATAATGGATAGATAGAAAAAGGCATCAAAGTAAATTAAAGTAACAATTAATTGTAGGAGGGTAGAGGAGACTTTCAGAAGAGTAGGATGTCTTTTGAATGACTGTTGCAGGTAGCAAGCTAAAAAGTTGAAGAAGGATGAAAAATAGAACTGATAAAGAGAAGCTAGAACCAAGTTGTAACTGGACAGTCTAGATATATAGCAAACCAGATCTCTTTATTTTCTTTTAAAATTTATTTTTGGGGTAGGTAGGTGGTGCAATGGATAGAGCTCCTGCCTTGGAGTCAAGAGGACCTGAGTTCAACTTCAGCCTCAGACACTTGACACTAGCTGTGTGATCCTGGGCAAGTCACTTAACTCCAATTGTCTCACCAAAAAGCAAATAAAATAAAATAAAATTTATTTTCTCTTTTTATTATGAAGAATTTGACAAACAGCAACAAATATCAACATTCTCCTACACAAAGGTTAATGTTAAAAGAGTACCACATAGCATGACACTATGAATTTTTACTATGTGTGGCTTGCATCTCTTAAAGATATATATCAGATTTGTCATATAATGCCCAACATTGTTCTGCTTATCCATATCCTCCTTTGAATTTCCCTCTGCTATTTCCCAATGTTTCATTGAAATTTCCTTCTTTCCTGTCTTTCTCCTTTTTTTTTTTTTGGCTATCACCATTATGACCTTTCATACAGTTAAAGCATTCAAATCCACACATTGGTTGTGTTGAATATGTCTCATTCTATATCTCTTATACATTCTCTTTTCTCTGCCAGGAAGTGGGAATTCTGATTCATCATCAGTCTCCTGGAATCATAATTTGTCAATGTGTTTATCATAGATCTTAAATTTTTCACTTCGTTTATAGTATTATAATTACTGTACAAATTGTTCTCTTGGTTATTCTCACTTCATTTTTCATTAGTTTATACAGATCATCACATCTCTGAATCCATCCCTTTTGTACTTTCTAATGGCACAATAATAATCTATTATATTCATAAGCCTTAATTTATTCTGCTGTTCCCCAACTGATAGATATCCATTTTTTTCTAATTCTTTTGCTACAAAGAAAGTGATACTATAAATATTTTTGTTCATACAGGTCTTTTTCTTTCTTTGGTCTCTTGAGTATAGGCTTTGTAGTGGTATCACCAAGTCAAAGGGTATGTACATTTTAATAATTTGGGGAATATAGTTCCAAAATGCTTTACAGAATGGTTAGGTCATTTCACAGCACCAACAGTGCTTGTCCTCTCACGTTTCTACCAACAGTAGTCATTTTCCTTTCTGTCATCTTTGCTGATATGGTCAGGGTAAAGTAGAACCTCAGAGTTCTTTTTAATTTGCATTTATCTTATTAGTGAAATGGAGAATTTTTTTATATGATTGTTGATAACTTGCCTTTCTTCTTTTGAAGAGTACCTATTCATTACCCTTTGACCATTTACCTATTTGGGAATGGCTCTTGTTCTTATCTATTTATATCAATTTTCTATCTATCTTCATTATCATACTTTTATCAGAGAGATTTATTGCAAAGTTCTTTTCCCCCTAACTTTCCCCCTCTTAATGGCATTGATTTTGTGTAAAAACTTTTCAATTTTATGTAATCAAAAGTGTCTGTTTTCTCTCTTATGATCTTATCTATTCCTTGTTTGGTAGGAATTCTTCTCCTATCCATAATTGTGAATGTTATCTCCTTTGAACCTTTAAACTTGTTTATGATATGATCTTATATATCTAGATAATGTGTCCATTTGGAATTTATTGTGGTATATGATAGGGGTCTAATTTGTTTTTGTTAAATAGTGAATCCTTACCACACTAGTTGGAGTCCCTGGGTTTATTAAATACTTTGTTTACTATATTCCATTGCTTTTGGGTCTTGTGCACCTAGATTGTTCCTATGATCAATTTTCCTGTTTTTTAACCAGTTCTAATTAATTTTTATCATTACTGCTCTGTAATATAGTTTGAGATCTAGTACTGCTAAATCCTTTAACTTTTCACTTGTAAAATTATTCCAAGTTTCGACTTTTGTTTCTGTAGATAAAGTTTATTATTTTCTAATTCTATAAGGCAGTCTGTTGATGATTTGACTGGTTTGGCACTGAATTTGTAAATTAATTTAGGT